GGTGTATCATGTCATATAACATCATTAAAATAAATTTGTAGCTGTGTTGCATCTTACATATAAAACATTTAGCAAGCTAAATTAGACAACACAGTTAGCTAATGTTAGCTTGCACATTTTGCTAAATTCTCATTGCTACTAGATAAATTAGTGAATAAGCTGTCGAATGAAAACGCTGACTGCTATTTAAAAATAAAGATGTACTGTCTTATCATTCACACTGCCTCCAGGAAGTGTTGGGACAGCTGTTCCTTTCAGCTTGTTGGCTGTAAAATCCAGAGCTGTATTGAGATCAATTTTCAAATGAGTCAGCAATAATAGACTCTTGCTACAAACTCTTGTACTGGGTGTCACTTCAACCCCAGAAAGAAATTTTCATTTGGTCTAATCTGAGCATTTATAAACGAGTGCTCTCCTAGCAGCTACAATGTTACTCACATAGAGCAATGCGGAGTGTGTGAAGTGTAGGAGGGTCAGTTGATTTCACAGTTCACTAATATGCAACATAAGGTAGTTTATTATTCGCTATAATCAATTACTATTATCTGTGACGTCTAAGATCACACCAAATAAAATGCAACAACTAAACATCGGTTGGGGGGCAGTATACTAAAAAAAAACAATTTAGAGGTCATTTTATGCACCCTGCAGTGCCCAGTAAATGTTGGATAGAAGCAGAAGTAAGAAGATAATCACATACTTCCTGTTAATATAACACTTTGAATAAAGAGGACAAATACTGAGCTGGGCCTTTAAAAAACATAAACAGACAAAAAAAAAGTTCTCACTTCAAGCTGCAGTAATGTTTTATACCAGCAGAGGGCAGGTACAACATTCTTATTCAGGTTTTGTTTTGTTTTTCTTTCAGCTCAGACTGATGAACTTATTTTAACTTTTTGTTTTTATTTTATTAGCTTTTCATCAATCCTGTCCACGCAGGATGTCCTTGGCAAACGAAAATTCTCTAATCATTTTTCTTCAACAACCACTTCATTTTCAAACTTGTCTTGCCATCTAGAGGTCCCACTGGGTTTCGTTCAAAACCGGCAACCCAGATTTCTGGATTCAAACATGCAATAATATTCACCACATGATCAAGAGCACCAACTTACAACTTATTCAGTATAAAATCATCCACAGAATGCACTACACCACACACAAAATGTTTAAAATGGGATTCATAAACACAGCAATCTGCACAAAATGCACCCAAAACACAAATGACAGCTATATCCATGCCATGTGGCACTGCATACCCGTTCATCAGTTTTGGCAAGAAATCATCACCTTTCTCTCCCACACCTTTGTCAGCAACATCCAACCATCACCATCACTCTGCCTACTTGGTGACATATCAACGACCAATATGACAAAAGAAAATAATAGAATGTTTCTCATAGCGCTAACCATTGCCAAGAAAACCATACTCATGAACTGGAAAACAAAACATAACATCAGCATTAACCACTGGAAAAACCAATTAATGGATTATATATCAATGGAAAAACTCTCTGAATCCATCAATATCAAAAACAATAACCCAGAACCAGCCTGGACCATTCTGATAAATGCCCTGCAAAGCCCTACAGTAACCTCCAAAACTCCTAGTCACAAGATTTAACCCCCCAAGAGCCATCCCACAAACTAGAAACCCCCCATACGATCATTTTTTTTTTTGTTGTTTTTTTTTTGTACGTTTCCCTTTCCCCACCTATGACTGGTTTACAATATTACAAAATAAATAACAAAGTCCTAATAGTCCTCAGGGGGGGTGGTAGGCGGGAGTGGTAGGCGGGAACACGGCAATGCTGACGGTGGGGTCTGTGTCATAGGAGTGCTGGATAAAACAGTGACCTCCGTAGCGCATACTGAGGCCTCTGCAATACAGTGTAGTACCTATATATTTATGCGTAAAGAGGTAACATGTCCTGTCAGCACTATTTGACTACATCCACCATCATGTAAATAAAGGAAGTAACGGCGCGGACTCTTAATATTACAAGCCAACAATTCAGTCTTCCCTGTGTACACAGTGACACTGAAAACAGAATTTCTGCATATCTTCATCCTGGATGGAGCTTTGAAAAAGGACCATTTTTAGCCACCTACAATGCAGTTTGCATGTAGACAAAAGACCAAAAGCGATGTTTTTGAAAAAATACCCATGTATGTCAAAAAAAGGCCTTAAATGTCCATGAAATGAGCTGCAGGTGCTTGCAATGGAGGACAGTGGGTGAAGCCAGGGAAAATACAAGTAGAGTCTCTCCTGAGGAGGGAGACATCATGACACTGGTGCTCACCACATAGTATCTAGTTCTCAGTATCTGGTAATCACCTGATTTGTACCTAGAAAAAGCCATGCACTTTCAGAGGCTCTGTACAATTGGGAATCACCATTTATGGAAGATCTTTCTTATACAAAAAATCCAGCCCTCTCTATCAAATCAAATCACCACAGAATTTACATGATCAGAATCAAGTCAGGATCTGGAGCTCTGTTTGTTTCAGTGTGCTTGAAACAGTAATTCAGAGCGACTCTCCTAAATTCTGCAGTGAAACTGAAGTGATTGCTGAGCTCATGACAGCTGAGCTTTACTGATCCAGTAAATAGTCTTTAACCTTTAGTAACACTGAGTGCCAGCAGAGGCATCTCAGCACACAAAGATCAGCAGGAACGGCAGAATCAATCTAGTGTTCCTTCATAGTAAAACACACTGAAACATAAATTAAGTACATAAGGTATCATTATGTACCTGTTCCCATCGATAAAAACACAGCAAAGGTTAAGGTATATTTTTCGTACTAGTATCCCTTCCTATATATTAATCAGTGAGAATATCAGATGTGTGAGTGCAGAGATGAGTGTGTGGTTGTGGTTTGGCTTCTGTTCTAGTTCAGCTGTGTGGGTTTAAGGAGGAGGAGGTGTGAAAGCGGAGATGTTGGTGGGGCCAGTTTCTCATAGTCAGGTTTAGAAAATAATGAATAAAAAAATAATGAATGCACACACACACACACACACACACACACACACGCACACACACACCACACACACACACCACACACACACACACACACACACACACAAATAGAAGTACAAAAGCAGCAGCTCAAGAAATTACTTAAGACTACTAAGTACTGAGCGGGGGTGGTGCTGGGGTCAGTGGACATTCCTGTTGCCTCTCATGCCAAACCAAATTATCCACAATTCTGACACAACCTTTATCGTATGTAAACAACAAATTCTCTTAAAGTTGTAAAACACTTTGCCACCATCCTTTATGTCTAAGTAGGTAACTATGAGCGTTACTGAATAATGAATACACCTAGCTAAAAATATTATTTACTGACCAAACCAAACACTCCTGAAAGTTTGCAGACTCTCTTTGGATAAGTTAAAAAATAAAGGTTGATTTAAAATGTTAAAAAAGTGCTGCATGTGCACAGAACTCTAATGTGCTTCCAGCTCTGTAACATGCAGAGAGGCATATTACATGCTCACTGTTATAAATACCATGTGATGAGCACTAGATAATATGGGATGAACTAAATATTATGTGATGAGCATCAGATACTATTAGGTGAGCACCAGAGACTATAAGGTGACCACCAGATACTATGTGGTAAGCACCAGATACTATCAGGTGAGCATCACATTTTTACTTAAAAAAATACACCGTGCCTTTTCAGGCTTCATAGACATGGTCAACCTATTGTGATGAAGGCAGAATATATTGAAATTACATAGAATGTAGCAAACAGACTATGAAGAGAACCTCTTAACAGCAACCAGTGATGCATTACTGTCAAATTCTTCTGTTGGCAGAGTTTGAAAGGCATGGATTTCAATGATAACAGCTACATAGTCCAATGGAAAAGAATATTATTGCATAAGTTGATGTTTAGCTTTGTCAGCAGACCTGGTGAAACAAAAGGCACAAATTAATTTGCTATGTGTTATCATGAATGTTTTCATTTTGGGAATTATCTTAGTGGTCATGTTTAATTTATTGATCAAGTTGAGTTATTTACCTTTTTCATCTTTCAGTTTGTCTGTAATGATAATGATAAATGATGACATGCATCATCTTTGCACATAATGATTTAATCAGAAATGAAAGTGCTGTACAGTCCTGTTTAATCTGACTGGTTTATCAAGCAACATTCTAGAAAAGCTAATTAAGCTAACTGACCAGCGCATAATGATCTGTTTTTATAGACTCAGTAGACTTTAATTGACTCAATATACTTTAAAAAGCTCAGTTTTGCTTCCCTGAAGCAGTTATTAGTGAAAGCACCTTATATCTTCTTTTGGAGCTTGCTTAGTTGGTTTCCGTGTCAGACAAGGAGGAGGTTTGAGTGATGGGGCTACCCTTTGAGCTGAGCTAACACCCGTAAATCTGTCCATAAAGCTAACAGTGGAGATGAAAGTAGATCCTTTTTCCTCACAAATATACATGGCTAGATTTAAAGGTATTATTGTTATCTGGAAAAAAAACTCAATTACAACAAAACCATCAAAATTTTGCTTGAGGAAATGCAACTGATTATACATAGCTAGTTACCACCCACCTCAACATTTTTTATTTGTTTTTTTAACTGACAGTTGTGATTAGTGGTGCCTTCCTAGGCTTTGGACCTTATGATAAATTGGATCCACAGCAAAATCTTCTTCTGCTTCATGTACTGACGAACAATTTAGAGCTGAACACAGACTGTTTATGTTCATCTCATTTTACACCAAGGTTAACACTTGTTGAGTTAGAACCATCAGGAGATCAACGGGCAGTCAAGAGTCTATTTTCTCTCTTTGTTTACTTCTCATTTTTCTTCTTTTTCTTCGAGTTTACAGTTTTGTTTTCATTTCAGTAAAATTAATTTGCATCTTGTTGGTTTCACTGTGTTCTACTAGAGTTAAACATCTCAGACACATATGTATTCTCTTAGTCTTTGTCTCTCTTTGTCTCTCTCTCTCTCTCTCTCTCTCTCTCTCTCTCTCTCTCAGGAAGTGATGAGTTGAACACAGAGCATTGTTCAGTCAGTCAGTCATTACGGGGACAGTATGGAGTTCAGGTCACTCTCTGTAATACTCTGTGAGTAAATGTTCTCTTTATGTCTTCAGCAGAGTGAGAGCTGCTGTATGAAGGTATTATTATTTAATCTGAGTGTGTTAGTGATGAGGTTGTGTGTGATGAAGTGATTGTGTCTAGTTTAGTCAGCAGTCAGAGTGGAACACTACAGAACTTCTGTTCTCCTCTCTAAAAAATGCTGGGCTGAAAACAACCCAACCTAGGTTATTTGGCAACCCAGCACTGGGTAAAGATGGGACAGAACACATGCTAGATTATTTTAACCAAACTGGTTAGTTTAAGTACTTTAAACATTGTGCTGTGTTGTTAAAATGACCCAAATTAGGAGACTTTTTTACACAATCCTGTGCTAACTTTACCACGTGTTTGGATTGTTTTTTACCTGTTGATATATATATATATATATGGAGCCTATCCCAGCTGTCATTGGGCGGAAGGCAGGATACACCCTGGACAGGTCGCCAGTCCATCGCAGTATATATATATATATATATATATATATATATATATATATATACACACACACACACTATAATAATAGTAATAATAGTAGTAATAATAATAATAATAGTAGTAGTAGTAATAATAACAATAATATCTTTTTTGTCATATGATTTTACTGAGGTTGAGGTTGTTAAAAGCTGGTGTTAGTTCAATATTTTGTTTGCTAACTTTACAGCTTCTTCCACAGTAGGACAGATAAACTAGCAATGGGAAAAGCTGTTGCAGTATCTTTATTGCAGTGATGACCTTTGTATCTAAGAGGAAATCAATAATAACTGAGAGAGAATTACTATAATACTATAGTAATTTGCTAAGAGTTTGATAATGATAAGTAGTTTGAAATGATACTGACGTTGATATGGGTTAATCTGTGGGATTATATGCAACTAATGCAATCCTATGTACTGTCAAGCTCAATAAATCCTGTACAACTAAATTCTATCAGCTGTTTATAACACTTGAAAATCACCTGAATACTTGAAATCAACTGTAACTGAAAGACAAGTATTATTTGTTATTTATTTTTACATAGTTTATGTGATGCACTCTGACAACTGAATCTGCCTCAGAGAGTAATGTGACACCAACCCCCCAACATACACACACACACACACACACACACACACACACACACACACATGCACTGTTTGAGCCCTGAAAGATTTAAACTATAACTCTGAGATATTGTCAGTGTTGCTAGCTGACTAACTAAGTAGCACTAGCTAGCATCTGAATTCAAATTTGACAACGTGGCTCGATATTCCAGCCATGCAGGATCACAGTCATGAATTAAATTTGACAGTTTATTATCCTACAAAGTTCGCTAGGTAGTGAGAAAATAACTCAGCAACTGGTTCACACCATTAACCCAAATGCTGGGTAATGGAATAAGAAAGATAGAAATGACCCAGCAAAACTAGCCCACTGTCTGAACCAGCAGTTTTAGAGATCATTCTGTAATATGTGAATGTGAATGACTGATCTGGAGTAGATCACTGTGTACAATGAGTTTTGTGAGAAGATAGTAGAAAAATATGCTTTTGATTACTGAGTCTGATCATACTGGCTAGTGGAGGTTTCTAAGATGCTCTGAATGTTTTGATCACAAACTGCTAAACACGTTTGTAATCAGTGATTTCGTGGTTTTAATAGCGTTGTTTCAATCCTTTGATGTGCTGCAAAATGTTGCTTTGGCCTTGTGCACCAGAACACAGCTTTCATGTTGCGAACAATTCAGCATCAGATGAAACTTCATGTGAATCACATCACACTTTCACACTTTAAATACATGTTTATATACTGGAAAATATTAGTGGCTTTGTAAGGGTTGCTATGAAAATAGAGTCTAATACTCTATTTATTGTTATTATGCATGAAATACTATGTTGCTTGCATGCATTTTCTTAAAGATAAGAATGATTTCTATTTTAACACTGTGTTTGTTTCTCTTCCTGTTTTAGGGTTGATTTCACTTGTTCAAACTCGGCAGGCTCAAGGTGATTTATAAGTAGCATGTGAGCTAAAATGTTAATCATGCATAATCAGACAGAATTTGTCTTCTGATCAGTAACAGATGTATGTTTTCTTTTTAATTTTTACAGCGTGGTATCAACCAAATTTGTCTGTGCAGCCTAACTGGTCACAAATATTCAGTGGAGAGATCGTCACACTCACATGTTCCATTCCAGAAGGGACAGTAACTGACTGGACGTACTACTGGTACAGAGAGAACACTCAACTTCACCACTCAGATAAAAACCATTACATCATAAGAGGCATCAGAGTGGATCAGAGTTCAAAATATTATTGTTATGGTTCTGAGAAGCATAGACAAAGAGAGACTTCTTGGAGTAACGCAGTGACTCTCTCAGTAAAGGGTACATCAGATCTTTCATTCCTGTAACAAATACAATACAATTAATGTTTGTAAAATACAAAATTTAATAGTAAAGGTATTTCTTAATAGATCTTAATTCACAGAGCAGTGTGTGTTTGGCTGGTTTACAGCAATATTTATGTGATGTAATTATTCAGAGAGACCAAAAGCTTCACTGATCCTGGTGCCTACTGGACAGATGTTTACTGGAGAGAAAGTGACTCTCGGATGTGACATACATGGACACACAGACACTGAGTGGAGCTACAGCTGGTATAAAGATGAAGGTGACAGTAACCGTCCAGTTCATTCCTCTAAAGTGAGAAAAGAATATTCATTCAGTGTTGTAGAGTCTGACAGTGGTAAATACACCTGTAGAGGAGAAAGGAGGAGTGACTCTCAGAGATCAGAGATCAGTGATGCGGTTACACTGACTGTATCAGGTGAGTGTATTAATCTATTATTCACACCAATATTCATTAACCCTGCCATCACAACACTGCATTCAGTGTAAATATTTAAGCTATATAAGGTCCCACTGACTCAAGTTGCTGGAAAATTTACTGCTCTCCATCTCTTCTCACAGCTTTACCCAGAGCTACACTGACTACAGAACCAGAGAGTCCTGTGTTCACTGGAGAGTCAGTCACTCTGAAGTGTGAGATAGAGTCTTACAGTAACTGGAGATATCAGTGGTATAAAGGCAGCAGTAGAACTGCAGTCAATCAGTCTCAGACAAACACCTTCACCATCAGATCAGCAGCAGATCAGGATCAAGATCAGTACTGGTGTAGAGGAGAAAGAGATAACAGGCCTTCATCATCACAGCATAGTAAGAGAGTGAATCTCTGTGTTCAAGGTGAGTAATTACTGTTTTTAAGACTCTGAGAGCAGTGTGTGATTTTTACAATCTATTTTTCTCTGATAAAATTACTCACAAACAGTGATAGGATCTATGCAAGTATTAGGAATACATATTCAGAATACGGAAAGTTGTGTCTGTTTACAGTCTAGGTTACATTTTGTAAAGCAGTATTCAGAATACAGTATCTCATTTAATCTCAGTGTTACCGAGCTCTGCTAAAGCCTGAGTAGACTGATAAATTAATGTGATGAGTCAGTTATTAATGTAAGCGCTGCTAAACTTTTTTGAGGGATGACTGAACTGAACTAAACTGAACTGAACGTCTTTAGTGCTGAATTTAGAGGTTTATATTATGTATAAAATGCTATATTTTTACTAGTTTTAAGTTATTTAGGGTGACATCAAGTACTAGATATTATAACTTACTTTAAGAAACCTATTCACTGATTTTTGCTAAATATTAGCATTTAAACTGTGTGCTTCATCTCCAACTGTAGAAGAAAAACCTAAACCTGAACTCACATCAAGCCATAAAGGAGCTGCACTGATAGGAAATCCAGTGGTTCTGTACTGTGAGCTGGATCAGTCTGCTGGATGGAGGTTTTACTGGTTCAAACACTCAATGAGATCAAGACTGAAACACACTCCTACACCATCAGCTCAGTTAGTGTCTCTGATGGAGGACAGTACTGGTGCAGAGCTGGGAGAGGAACCCCAGTCTACTACACTCACTACAGTGATGCTCTCTGGATAAGCGTTACTGGTGAGTGAAACAGTTTACACACACACACACACACACACACACACACTGGAGCGATAAATCCCAGGAATGTGGTAATCCATGCGTAGATTTCATTTCATTTCATTTCATCATGAGAAAAGAAATAAAAATGGCCTTAACAAATTCTCACAGAAATGTTTTAACATCTACTGGAAAATCTTCCCAGAAGATGTTAATACTACAGAACAATGGGGACAAATTCCCTTTTAATACCCTTGATTTCAGAAGAAACTCTGCAAACTTTTCCTCTTTTTTCAAACTTTTTTGGGCACTCAGTAATCAAAGCTGGTGTTGAAAGCCTTTCCATGTTAAAAGTGATTGTGCATTGTATCTATAACAAGATAACTACACATCTGGATGGTCATTTCTGTGTCTAAGGTGTTTCTCCTCCAGTCTCTCTGATGTTCAGTCCTAGCAGAACTCAACACTTTATTACTGACTCTCTCTCACTGAGCTGTGAGGGACAGAGTGACTCTACTGGATGGAGAGTGAGACGATACACACACAGTGAGAAGGTGTCAGATTGTTCATCAGGCTGGGGATCAGTTACAGGATCTACATGCAGCATCAGCTCCCTCAGCACATCCCACACTGGAGTGTACTGGTGTGAGTCTGAATCTGGAGAGAACAGTAATGCTGTCAACATCACAGTGCACAGTGAGTCTAGTGTTTTTAATTATTAAGGGAAATGCTTGGATATGCAGAAAAGTTTTCTGATTTATACTGGAAGGTAATTTCTGTATAGTTATAGGATATTTTGAGCACAGCAACTGTACTGCACTGTTGTTTGATTTTCTCCAGATCTGAATCAGATCTATTATGGCAGGTAAGGCACTGAATACTAGCATTACAAAATGTGAGTCACCACAATACCTGAGCTCATTAATGAGGTTACGGTCTTTGTTAAAGAAGATCATTCACAGCAATATCAGATATTGAGCTCATCGAGCACCATGGGGGCTTTACTTTTCCACAGATTGAGCATTTTTATTTACATTCTTTTCCAGATGGTGATGTAATTCTGGACAGTCCTGTTCATCCTGTGACTGTGGGAGATCCTCTGACTCTACACTGTTTATATCACCACACAAAGTCCTCAAACCTCACAGCTGAGTTCTATAAAGATGGATCACTCATCCAGACTCAGACTGCAGGAGAGATGACCATCCATACTGTCTCAAAGTCAGATGAAGGTCTCTATCACTGTAAACACTCAGAGAGAGGAGACTCTCCACAGAGCTGGATCTCAGTCAGAGGTTAGATAGAAATTATTCTTTTTTAATTACATCATGATTTTTTTCTGATATCTTGCAAATTGTTTCTGTGTAAATGTATATTTTTCAGATTCAGCTGCTGAATCTGCTGTTGGTCTGGTTGGAGTGGTTGTGGGAGAGAGTATTGCTTCGTTGTTCATCTCAGCAATACTGCTGTGGCTCTACAAAACCAAGAAAGGTCTGAAAACTCATGTAGATATTTTATGTACAATTAAAACATTTGCAAGATACACAGAATAAAACTTGTTTACATATTTCTACATTATTACACTTTTTCATTTATTACTCTGTTGGCCAAATGGTGAATCTCTGTCTCCCCCTTCAGGAAACAAGCAGAACACAAACCAGACATCAGAACAGACACAGAGAGAGTCAGGAGCTGAGGACTCTCAGTCTGGACATGCACCAGTGCAGCCTGGTCAGACAATGAGTTAATATTGTGGTTCTAATGTGTTATTGCAATGTACAAAGTAATTTACTTTTGTTGGATTACATCAATAAATAGATTCATCAAAACACCCAGAAAAACAATCTTCTGGGACTGCGATTGTTCAGAACACAGATATGATTGATTAGGCTACACTGACAATGCTGTTTTAACTGCCTTTCAAAACCATCAGCAAACTGGAGTTTTGTCATAGGTGAGCAAGCAAGTCATCATTTGTCATTTACAACAGTAGATTCTTACCTGTCCCCTTTCAGCCCTCATTGCTCACTAGCAGCTGAACCACATTTCACACCCAGCGAGTTCAGTGATGTCATTTACTCTCAGGTGATGACAAAAAAACAAGAATCCCAAGAACAAAGGTACATTTTGATTGGATATGTGTAATGCTTTACTGTTTCATGCAACATCAGATATACCAGTTCAGCAGATCGGAATGCATCTGCAGTACATCCAATCATCTGTTACTCTATCAGTGTGCATTCAAAACTCTCTACACGTATTTCAAGGCTAATGTGTTTCATCTAATGTTTCTACCATATCAGGGGAAGATATTCCAGAACAGGATTCACAGACTGAAACCATTTACTCAAATCTGCAGCCAGGCAAAAATACAGGTACTCTGGCTTTATCCCTCTATCTACTCACCAGGTAATGTATTCCACAAGAAACCCAATGTAATGTCGTATCTTCTCTGCTTCTCTGTAAACCCAGGTAATGTCGTATCTTCTCTGCTATGCTAACAGAGAAGATACGACATGCAGAATGAAAGCTGTCATAGGTTTACTATAGGAAGAAAGTGGGCACTGTGACGTTTATGAAAGTTAGAGGTCAGCGAGATGTTTTTATAACTACATTTTGTTATGTTTTGTGTTGTTGCAGATGCTGATGCTGGATCTCTGGATGTGATTTATGCTGAGATTGAAGTGAAAAGAAAAGTGAGGAAGAAACCAAAGAAAAAACGTGGTAGAGAAAAATGAAAATGTTTTTCTGATTCTAGTGCCACATCAAGAGATCATGTTTCAAGGATTCTAATTGACAGGTTTTGTGTAATTCCAAGCAATCCTCTTTGCTATTCTTTTGGTTTCTTTTACAATCCCTTAAGTACTAAGGGATTGTAAGTACGGCAGTGTCTCCGTATTTGCTGGCGTCCATCGTTCTGGGGGTCAAATACTACAGAGCTCAAGGTAAGAACTCTTTCAGATTACACATCAAAAACACACTACAAGTCTATTATTACAGAAAGTGTTAAATCTACAATCAGAACCGCATGTTATTTTATAGTATAATTGATAGGAGCAGGATTATTAATTTAAATAGCAGAAGGAGATTATAATATTCTAACTTTAACTTACTGAGAACCACTGACCAACAACTGTCATTATAACTTATTATTTTCATACAGTTTTGTGTTTGTAAAATTTCTCAGCAGGTTTGTAAAATGTAAAGTTGAATAAAAAGTTGTCATTTCACATTGCAGTAATGCTTTTACACATTTTGAATCAGAGATTGTTTTGTTTTTCTTACAGCTCAGACTGATGAAGATTAAAGGCAGTATTCACTCACAGAAGAGTGAGAATCTAAAGGACAAACTCAATGTAGTATAACATACATCTGTTTTCTTAAAGTGCTTTCAAATTATGTTCAGCAGCTGCTCATGTTTTAGCTTTAATCGTTTTTATGTATAATAAACAAATATTTGACATGTCATCGTGAAAAATGTAGATTTTATTATTTTCTCCAATTTAAAATTCACACTTTCTTTCTCTTCTATACATGTGGTTAGTATCTCCAAAATGGTAACATTACAGGAGAAGGAAAAAAAATCTACTTTACTTTTAATGTAAGTCAAAGGAACCAGACTTTTTTCCAAGTCATTTTGGGCCGTTTCTTTTAGTCCATTCATAATGAAATTTACGTAAAATATAAAGGGTAAAAGGCATTTTTAAATTATGTCAAAAACTGAAAAAACAACAAAAATGGAGATACAAGGTTTTCTTCCGACAGCAACGATACGTTACCTGCTTCACCACAGATAACTGATAGCTAACTAACATTACTGTTCATGTGACAGCTGGGCAGAATGTGTGTCCATTATTTATGTAAACCTCCACTCAGTCAGATATCTATTTAGACAGTGTTAGCCAAGCATATTGTATATTAAAAGGAGACAGAGTGTAGTCTTTAAGTTACCGGACATAATGGCTTTATCACATGATATAAAACTCTGAAAAAAAAAGACTCAATAAAGTAATCAGCTAATATTAGTGAATTAGCCAGCTAACGCTTGCTATACAGCTAAAGCAATTTCAAAGTTAGAAGGGCATATTGCATTACTGTACAAGGGTAACATTAAATTCCACAACAGTAATAATCTGGCTGGCTATTTTCGGTTGTTGGTTGACAAATAACCAACATAACTTTCAAGTCCAGCAATGAAAAGCCAATTCAGCATCATTCCTGAGTCCCTCCAGGTGACAGAGCTGTTGCCATCTCTGAAAAGCTAAGCCAGTGTTGACTGTGGTCTTAACTCGAGCTCTGTTACTCTCTCTTTTAGCTTGCTTGAGTTCTGAGGAATTGTGCTACCTTGTTGAAATGTCCTACCATAGGGCAAATTTATAAACAGCTGCCTACATAAAGCCTCTAGGCCCCTAGGCCTTGACAACCTAAATAACCTTATCAAAAAATGTATTTATTTTTATATATAAAACACTCTTACTTTGTAATGCAAGGTAGTGTAAAAAAGATTTTATTGCAAATGATTTTGGAGAATTTCTATTGGCCATTCATCTTGGCATTTTCACACAATGTAAAGGACAGTCGGTATGTTAAAATGATGTAGAAAAACAAAAATCGATAAAAATGGAGAGACATTGTTTTCTTTGGACTCTTTTCTCTTGACTCAGTAATGCAAATTCTTTCAGTTTTAACAAACACGCCTTACATAGTGCAGCTTTAAAAAAAAGTTTATTTTGAATAAATCAGGGAGTCTTCTGTCATGTTGTGATGTTCAGTACTCAATGAAATATTGCATAAGTGTGGTAAAAAATAAACAGACAAGGAAAATGAAAGAATTAATTAATTTAATTAATTAAAGTAAGTAAGTAAGTCACTGTAGTTAATATATTCTAAAATCTAATTAAAATAATTTCATTATTTTGCTTCTTATGATTGATCACCTTGATTTCCGGGCACTGGTTTATGGTTACTTCAGGCACCTTGCCTCCTGCTTTGATTACTGAGGAACTCTTGTGAGATCTGCACAGATCATGTGTGTTTATCTCAGTTTAAACCTTATATGAAATCTTGGTCAAGTAGTCTTCAACCTGTAGTACCACTGAGTGCCAGTAGAGGCATTTCAGTACACGAAGATCAGCAGTAACTGCAGCATCAAACTAGCGTTCACATAAAAATCTAAAAACACACTGATACATAAAACCGTTTTGTACTGGTGCATCCTTAGAAAGAAAATGGTTTCCAGATAAATAAAAAAAAGTAATGCTAGAGAGTTCCCTGGAATCATCATTCAGCATTTGTTGCGCTACATTAGGAAAGTTAAGTGGACCGCGTGGTGTCTTCAGGTAACAGGAAACTGTTTATCCTGCACCACCTTAAGAAATGTGTTTTGGAATATGAATCTCCTGCTGCCAAAGTTCACTAAAGGTTGCAAGAACAGGAAGAAAAGGCTGTGAACAATCATTCAGAGACAAATATTTTCATATCATATCATATATCCTATATCATGTCATAACAAATACTCATATAATTTCTCAAATTCATCACTTTCATATTTACACAACTTTGTATCCTTCAAATGTCCACTCTTATTGAGAGACAAGACAGTTGTCAAACAAGGCTGGCTACCTCCCCTTAAACAGGAGGTCAAAGACCGCCAAATAAGGAACTGAAACTAGCTAGCCATCTTGCAAGATTCAACAGATCACCAATATTCTACACCATGACAACGAAACCTAGATAGATTAGATACAAAAAATAATAATAATAATAAAAATAATAATAAACCTCCTTATGTCTACACTCTTTGTCCATGTTATCACCTCCAACTACCATATAGCTGCATTTTGTAGTTCTACAATTACAGACTGTAGTCCATCTGTTTCTCTGCATGCTTTGTAAGCCCCCTTTATAGTGTGCTTTAATGGTCAGAACCCCTACAGGACCACCACAGAGCAGATACTGTTTGGGTGGTGGATCATTCTCAGCACTACAGTAACACTGACGTGGTGGTGGTGTGTTAGTGTGTTTTGTGCTGGTACGAGTGGATCAGATACAGCAGTGCTGTTGGAGTTTTTAAACACTGTGTCAACTCTATTAGACACTCCTACCTTGTTGGTAAACCTTGTAGATGTAAAGTCAGAGACAATAGCACATCTGTTGCTGCAGTTTGTGTTGGTCATCCTCTAGTCCTTCATCAGCGGTCACAGGACGCTGCCCACAGGACGCTGTTGGCTGAACATTTTTGGTTGGTGGAGTATTCTCAGTCCAGCAGTGACACTGAGGTGTTTAAAAATGTCAAAAGTACTGCTGAGTCTGATCCACTTATACCAGCACAACACACACTAACACACCACCACCACATAAGATGGCTAACAAAATATGCGGATACAGAGATTAACTACTGCCTGTAATTATACAACTCTATGTGTATTACTGTTTCAGTATAAAAACAAACTATTAACTAATTAATTAGAGGGTGTTTATTATATTACTACAAGTGTGTGAGTTCAGCAATGAGAGTTTAACTCACTGTTAAACTCACAGCTGAACGAGAACAGAAGCCAAACCACAACCACACACTCCTCTCTGCACTCACACCTTTGATATTCTCACTGATAAACGTGAATGATGGACTAAAATAAATAACATAAAATATATTTTTTAGTCCCTCATTCATGTTTATCAGTGAGAGTATCAGAAGTCTGAGAGCAGAGAGGAGTGGTGGTTGTGGTTGTGGTTTCTGTTCTAGTTCAGCTGTGTGTTTAACAGGGAAGGAGGAGGTGTTGAAGTGGGGGTCGTTGCACCTCAGTTTGTTTCACCTTTTATGTGCAGTGCACCATTTCCTCTGCTTAAACACTTTAGAAACATCACATCACTCATTACACATCACGGCTAAAACAGGTAGAGTTGGCATCACCAAGAGATCAACAGACAGATGAGAGTCTGTTTTCTCTCTTTGTGCACTTCTTCTTTCTAAAGCTGATCTCTGATTCTGAGTCTGCAGTTTTGAGCTCTGTGCTGCAAAATTAATTTAAATCCAATTAAAAGTGCTGACTTCACTGTGTTCTGCAAGAAAAAAAATAATAATATTAAATCTGATTACTTCTCTTGTGTATCTGTGTCTGATGGTGGGGGTGGGCTTTCCCTGAAAAGGGGAAGGATCAGGACTGTGCAGCAAAAGAGAAGTAAGACACATACATACCCCCCCCCCCTTCACTCAGGAAGTGATGAGTGTTGAATGCAGAGCATTGCTCAGTCAATCAGTCATTACGGGGACAGTATGGAGCTCAGGTCACTCTCTGTAACACTCTGTGAGTAAATGTTCTCTTTATGTCTTCAGCAGAGTGAGGTGAGGGGTTATTAGGTACACAGTAAAGAACTGATGTTAATTTAAAGGTGAACCTCTGCAGTAATCTAGTGTATTCTGGGAGAAACAGGTTCAGATTCTCATCACAGCAGTTTAAACGTAGGATTTACAGTAATTAGCTGTTATTTGTAAAGCATGTTGGTAAAGTGGTCAGTACTTTGTGAAGTCTTGAGCAGCCTGTCTCTGAATAATGTAGTGATGGGGTGCAGCAACCCAGCATTCCATACAGTTTTTGTTAGTTCTGTTAATGTTTTTGTTGAAGTTTGAATGTAATTTTGGCGTATTGTTATTCTAATCATAATGGTGTTTGTGTTTCAGTAACTTGTTCATCCTGTATTGTTATAATTAATAGACATTTGGTTACTGCAGTCTTTGTAGTCTTAATGATGATATCAGTGCAGTAACTGCTCTAATGTGATCTTGAGGCATTTGCTTGCATTTCCTGTGAACATTCAGGTATTTGCTTTATAAACATAGCTAGATAGATTTGTGTTGTTTGTATATATTTTTACATAACATGGTAAAACTGAGAGTCCGCAGACAGACAGTGGATTCACATTAGAGCACATATGAGCTGTACAGGTAAAGGTACAAATACAGTCATCAACAGAAACACACTGAAGTATTGTAACTGGGTATACAGTATGAGTAATGAAAACAAACAGTAACCTAGTTTTACAGTGTAAATATTTGTATTTCAGTGAGAGTGGAACAGCTTATTTAGAGGGGTAACACATTTCTAGTCCTAATGTCCCAAAAAGTCATTTTAGTGAAACTGCATAGAACAGTCTGAAAAACTGTACTGTTTTCCACGAGCACTTATTTGACTCACTATTTCTGTTCTGATTTTTTTTTTTTCAAATGTAGCATTTCATGCTGGTCTTTTACAGAAGACTAAGACGTTGATATAGCTGGAGGTTTAGGTGATGCTTTGTTCTTTTTGTGTTTTAAAATAAAAGTTTATTTTCCTTGGATAATGATAAAGTTTTCGAGACTAAGATCAGCTCATAATATTATAAGTGATGATAGGATGCAAAGCAATGGTGTTATCTACTTTGTTATCTTTCATTTTCTAGAAGTCTATAAGCAATGGGCCTCATTCACCAATAACTCCTTAAATTTGTTCTTATGTGTGTTCTTGAGAAAGGTCCTAAGAAAAAGTCTACGTCAGATTCATGACGTGTTCTTAAAGCACAGAATTGTTCTCATCTTTGTGCTCTTGAGTGTGTGTAAATTCTGTTCTTACCTAAGAACAAATCACAAATAAGAAAACACTGGTGAATGTCAGAATCCTGGTGAAAACTCTGTAAGTGGATTTTATGAAGAAATTTCTTCTTAATAATGGTTGGTGAATGAGGCCCTTTGTTAGTAAATAAAAAACTAATCAAACTCTACTGAAATGTATTTGAATTACTCTGTTTGTTGTTAAAATTTAGATTATCGCTGCTGCAGCAGCATTAAGGACATTTCTATCTGGTTGCTGTAGCTGGTCCCTAATGCGAAGAATAGAATCTGTTTTGTAACCATGATGGAGAATAATGAGGGAGATGAAGCTGCAGCAGAACTAAAAATGATGCTGTTTATTAGAGAAAAGACTAATGCAATGAGACTTCCTACCAAAGCTGAATCTGAACTGATGCACAGTTCAGAGGAGAGTTTAATGGGCAGTGCCCTTCCATGAAACATATCAGGAGAGGGATGCTCTCACTACATGACTCTTACAAAGTGTATGATCACAACAAGGGAGGACAGAAATAAAAAAAAATATGGTCCAATCAGATTTTGATTGTGTTATTCATATTTTGTACTGAAAGAGATTATTTGACTGCTTAGAGCACAAACTGCTCTGTTAGTGCCACTGAAAAGGTGCTCAGTGTCAGTGATGTGTGTTAACAGTGTTGTTTCAGTCCTCTGATGTGCTGTAAACCTCAGTGGTTTTGATCTGCTGCATCAGAACACAGCTATCATGAAGCATAAATTAAATCATTCCATTCCAGATCAGCAGACAAAACTTCACGTGAACATCATACTTTAAATACATTAATTAGCAGCATGTTTGTGTAAGTGGAACTTTAAGCAGTTTTGTTTTAATTGCTTTAAAAACCAGAAGTGAAAATGTATTTTTAAGTTTTTTAATGCTTCCTTTATTTTCAGTGAGTATGAAATGTGTCAATATTGTGAATTTTCTTGAAGAAAGGAATATTCCCAGTGTTGACATCATGTTTCTGTGTTTCTCTTCCCTTTTTTAGGGTTGGTTTCACTTGTTCAAGTTGAACATGCTCAAGGTGATTTATATGATCTAGTTATATTATGTGTGCTTGTTACATTTGTATGGGAGCTGAAAAGTTGAATTCATAGACTATCATGAATTTGAGTTCTGTACAGTAAAAAAATGTGTGTTTGCTGTTTGTTACAGTTCTGATTGTGCAGCCTAAAGGACCACAAATATTCAGTGGAGAGAACGTCACACTCAGATGTTATATTCCAGGAGAGAGAGTAACAGATTGGATATATTACTGGTACAGAGAGAGCACTGAACTTCACCACTCTGATGAAAACTATTACATCATAAGAGACATCAAAGTGCATCAGAGTTCAAAATACAGCTGCTGTCCTTATTACAAATATAGCCAAGGATACACTGGCTGTACTGATGAAGTTACTCTCACAGTAACAGGTACATGTCTGAGCCTACACACTTGTAACATATTTTATGTGAAATATAATCATGACAATAATAATTTAACTAAATGATCTACAATTTCTAGAGCAGAGTATTTGTCAGGGGTTTATAATGACATTTAATGTATGTAATTGTACAGAAAGACCAAAAGCTTCACTGATCCTGATCCCTACTGGACAGATATTTAGTAGAGAAAAAGTGACTCTCAGATGTGACATACAAGGACACACAGATGCTGAGTGGAGCTACAGCTGGTACAAAGATGGAGATCAACTAATTAATTCCTTGGTGCAAGAATATTCATTCATTGTTGTAGAGTCTGACAGTGGTAAATACACCTGTAGAGGAGAGAGGAGGAGTGACTCTCAGAGATCAGAGATCAGTGATGCTGTTACACTGACTGTATCAGTTGAGTCTGTAAATGTCTTTTTTGAGACTGATATTCATTACCAGAGTTACATCACTTTATCTAACGTAGATATTTCAGACATCAAAATTACACTGACTCAAAATAACAGGAAAATGTCTCCATCTCTTCTCACAGCTTTACCCAAAGCTACACTGACTGTAGAACCAGAGAATCCTGTGTTCACTGGAGAGTCAGTCACTCTGAAGTGTGAGATAGAGTCTTACAGTAACTGGAGATATCAGTGGTATAATGGCAGCACTAGAACTGCAGTCTATCAGTCTCAGACAAACACCTTCACCATCAGATCAGCAGCAGATCAGGATCAGGATCAGTACTGGTGTAGAGGAGAGAGAGATTACAGACCCACATCATCACAGTACAGTACAGAGTGGGTCTCTCGGTTAAAGGTGAGCAATTACTGTGATAAAGACTCTGAGATCAGTGTGTGAACTCTTCATGGTCTGAACTGTGTGCTTCATCTCCAACAGCAGAAAAACCTAAACCTGAACTCACATCAAGTCTTAAAGGAGCTGCACTGATAGGAAATCTAGTGGTTCTGTACTGTAAGCTGGATCAGTCTGCTGGATGGAAGTTTTACTGGTTCAAACACACACAGAACCCTGAGAATGAGATCAAGACTGAAACACACTCCTACAGCATCAGCTCAGTTAGTGTCTCTGATGGAGGACAGTACTGGTGCAGAGCTGGGAGAGGAAACCCAGTCTACTACACTCACTACAGTGATGCTCTCTGGATAAACACGACTGGTGAGCAAAAAAGCTTACAGTTTTTGAACAATGCAGATAAAATAAAGTTGAGTTGTCATTATGTTGATCTTTCAATATAGTTTCACTTGTTTTACTTCAGGTAACACTGTCACTTGTTTCTATAAATTGTAGTTGTGACACTCAAGCTGTAATGATTATGTACATGTGTACATAAAATGTAACTGTCTTTCTGCAGAGAGTCCCAAATCTGTAGTGTCCATAAAGCCTGATGAACTGGTGTTCAGAGGAGAGACTGTCACGCTCAGATGTGACATACAGGGAGGAGGAGACACTGAGTGGAGCTACAGCTGGAAAAAGAATGATTATACTTACTACTCACTCAGCACAACACAGGAGAATGTAATCAACAATGTTAGAGAGTCTTACAGTGGTAAATACACCTGTAGAGGAGAGAGGAGGAGTGACTCTCAGAGATCAGAGATCAGTGATGCTGTTACACTGACTGTATCAGGTGAGTCTGTGGGTTTGTTTTGTGATATCATTCCATCAGGTGAGATTGTTATTGTGTCTAAGTAAATTAACTCTGTGTTTCTGTATAACAGACAGAGCTCAGGCAGTGCTGAGAGTGTCTCCACAGAGCTGGCTGACTGAAGGAGACTCAGTGACTCTAAGTTGTGAGGTCAGAGGCTCCTCTACAGGCTGGACATTCAGCTGGTACAGAGATAAAGATGAGCTCCTCTCAGACAGCAGCAGAGGAGCTGGAGGTTCCTACACACTCAGCTCTGCTGCTCTTAATCACACAGGAGTTTATGTGTGCAGAGCAACGAGAGGAAAACCAGCCTATCACTCACAGTACAGTGATACACAGCCACTATGGATCACTGGTGAGGAAACCTAATGAGAGCAGTGCAGAGTAGCAGCATATATGTATGAATGTCATAAATTAATGCAAATAAATGAGACATTTTCAAACAATATATTATTTATTTTGAATCAATAGGAAATATTATTAATGCAGTACTGAATGGTGTATTACTTTTTAATGCTAAATCATTAGAACTAAGAGTAGTTATTTGATGTTTTCCCAACTGGCATTCTTCAGCCAAAGGTTTAATAAAATTTATCTTTAACTATCCATGTCAAATTTGCTGTCCACAATTGATCTATTGGTCAAGACAACAATAACTACACATCTGAATGGTCATTTCTGTGTCTAAGGTGTTTCTCGTTCAGTCTCTCTGAGGGTCAGTCCCAGCAGAATTCAACACTTTATTACTGACTCTCTCTCACTGAGCTGTGAAGGAAAGGGTGACTCTACTGGATGGAGAGTGAGACGATACACACACAGTGAGAAGGTGTCAGATTGTTCATCAGGCTGGGGATCAGTTACAGGATCTACATGCAACATCAGCTCCCTCTACATATTCGACACTGGAGTGTACTGGTGTGAATCTGAATCTGGAGAGAGCAGCAATCCTGTCAACATCACAGTGCACAGTGAGTCTACATGTCATATATACTGTGTTAGACCAAGTCTTGCAAACTGGTTCCTTTTAGGTCACAGCTCTGCAGAGTTAAGTGTTTTCCCTCGTCTAACACTCTGAAGTCAAGTAATTATAAATATTATAATTACCTGACTTAATTATAAATAACAAAATGCTAATTAGCTGATATGTTGAATCAGGTATGTTTAATAAGGCAGAGTGCTGAAGTCTGAAGTGTGGTGACTTGTGAGAACTATAGTCTGACACAAGTTAGACCAAACACTAGCAAACTCTACAGCCTTTGAAGACTGTACAAGTTTATACATTTTCCATAGAATGAGCATTATTATTTAGGCTTTATTTTCTTCCAGTTAACTTTTACTACGATACTGTGAGTATTGTAGTAATTGTTCACTGAATAAAGTATAATATTTTCTCTCTTCTACAGATGGTTCTGTAATTCTGGACAGTCCTGTTCATCCTGTGACTGAGGGAGATCCTCTGACTCTGCGCTGTTTATATCGTGACCCAAAGCCCTCAAACCTCACAGCTGAGTTCTATAAAGATGGATCACTCCTCCAGACTCAGACTACAGGAGAGATGACCATCCGTACTGTCTCAAAGTCAGATGAAGGTCTCTACCACTGTAAACACCCAGAGAAAAGAGAGTCACCACAGAGCTGGATCTCAGTCAGAGGTGAGATAGAAATTATTTAATTTTTTTAATTGGAAAACAAATTTAATGACATCATGGAAAGTTTTTCAAATATCTTGCACATTGTTTCTGTACATTTATTTTTTCAGTGTCTATACGCTCACCTGCTGAATCTGCTGTTGGTCTCGTTGGAGTGGTTGTAGGAGTGAGTTTTGCTGTGTTGTTCATCATCTTACTGATACCGTTGTGGTGCTACAAAACCAAAAAAGGTCTGAAACTCATCCAGATCATTTATGTTTAAATAAAACATTGATAAGAAACACAGAACAAAGCTTGCTTACATTATTTCATTTTATTACACTTTGAATGAAATCTCTGTCTCTCTTTAAAGCACATAAGCAGAACACCAACCAGGCATCAAATCAAAACCAGAGAGAGTCAGGAGTTGAGGACTCTCAGTCTGGATACACACCAATACAGGCTGGTGAGAAAGAAAGTCAATTTTTCATCATATATAAATAATTCTTTATATACTGCATTTCAACTTAGAAGTATGTCCTCACTAATTAGTCAACTTAAAAGTTTTCAACGCTTATGATTCAAAATTTCAAAACATTCACTACAATGTATATTTATACAGTACTTTGAGGATTTTTTTCTGTTTTTGTTATTTTATTGTAGGAGAGGTACATGTTTATGAGACTGTTGAAAGAGCAAGGAAGAGCGAAAAAAGTAACTATTTCATTTCAAACATTATTGACTCTTACAGTTTTGCAGTGACTAATCCACTGTATTCTGTATCAGGTAAAGCTGCAGGCGAGAGCAGTGATGTTATTTACTCACAGGTCATGACAAAAAACAAGAAATCCAAGAACAAAGGTATATTCTCATAGGATTATTGTGATGCTTTTCAATATTTCATGTAGTATCAGATATACCAAATTAGCAGATATGGTGTGTCTGCAGTAGATTCATCAATCTATGACACTAAAAGAGAGTATTCAAGACACATTACAAAGAGAGTATTCAAGACAAATGTTACACATTTTTCCTAAGATTATTTTTTTTCTACCATATGAGGGAAAGATATTCCAGCAGAGGCTTCAGAGACTGAAACCCTTTACTCTGAAGTTCAGTCAAGAAAAGCCACAGGTACTCTGTCTCTATTCTTTATCTACACACTGTTCTATATCACTCTGCTAACAGAGCACAAATCACATGTTGAAAAGAGTTCTTATGATGAATGATCACTGTCGACATACATAGCCAGAAGAAGTGCCCATACGCTTTAGAGCCGAAAGTAGTTTTGTAGTACTCGGGTCCGGTCTCATCTCAATAGTGTAAAAAAACAATCTCTGTGTGGTATCATCATTTGGACTTAGTTTTATCTTGGTCTTGAGGTAAGTTGGACTCAGAAATTATTCTCAAGACCAGCTGAGTGCAGTGCCTCTGTCTGAGGTCACTTGAAAAAATAAATCTTTCATTACTGGATATCAACAAAACCTTCAAACAAAATAATAAAGTCCTTTCTGCATGTTTAAATAAAATCTGTTTACTGCTGGTCTGTTCCATGATGACTTAGATCAGATCAGAATGTTATTATTGCTATATTTTATTTAATAATAAAAATGTATGAGCCTCACCATCATTTGCTACCAAATGTTACAATGAAAAAATACAATACAAAAGTTGGACTAAGATTTTAATAATAATTCATAATAATTTTAAATGTATTTATTATTTAATGTTATTTTTGCAAAATATATTAAGATATAATATATGTAATCTTTATTGATTTGTATCATGTGTAGTGAATAATACTGAATTTACAATGAACCACAAATGAATATTTTTTCCCCTTTATTCTTTTTATTTTTATATTCTAAAAAAAAAAATCGTTGACTCAATGTATCCAGGTCTCAGTCTTGATTTCATTTTGCCTTTAGTTGACTTGACTACAATACTAGTCGAAAGATCTGTTTGACAAGCACCAAATGTTCTGTGTAGGAAGGAAGTGGGCATTGTGGGATAAAACTGAAAGTTAGAGGTCAGTGGTTATGCTGCCGGCCTCAGGCCTAGGGGAACCTAAGCCGTGCACAAGATGGTATCACAACAGCGAATGGCTGTATGATGGCGGGAGATGATCAAGATCTCTCTCTCTCTCTCTCTCTCTCTCTCTAAAATGACAAGGAAAACCAACACAAAAGTGTCGTCAGCCTGCGGGGCAAGGTTTATTCTCAACCTTTTACCAACTTAGAAATGACTTCTGTATGTTCAGTGCTGTTCAATATACAAAATCGTTCGTAACTGCAGAAAATGCATTTACACATTACATTTACATCTGAAGTCTAGGCTATATTCATTTTAATTCCCTTAAGTTTGAGAACCTCTGTATTGAAATTAAGACTGTAATACAATTATCTCCACATCATTGTTTTAAATAAACAACAGAAAATAGATTGCTTTACTGGGTGAAATAAATATAACTCCTTTGTCTTAAAAGACTAAATGATTTGACATTCTCAGCACTGTCACAAAAAAATAAACAACGGTGTACTAAAGTTCATAATAAACAAAATGTAATAAAATAAAGTCAAATAAATAAATAACAAAAAAATGTGAGGGTCCCTATTTTACTGAAACTAATAAATAATATTTTTCAGTCCTCTACAGTTACAACTGCCTTTGCTGTGTTCTTTGCTACTGCAGATGCTGACTTTGGATCCATGGAAGTGACTTATGCTGAAATTGAACTGAAAACCAAGAGGAAACCAAAGAGAAAACAAAGTAGAGTAAAATTAATTCTAACTTAGTGTCACATCAATCAGGGTTTTAAATAGTGTCTAATTTTTTATTGACAGGTTTTGTACAATTTACAAATCCTCTTTTATTCTTATTTTCACTCAGTATTCAGATCACATTCTGTTTTGTTTTTTTTTTTTATTTGGAGTTGGTGGTGGATCTTTCTGAAATCTAATTCTGGGTTTATTTCTGGATTTTCTTGCTTATTTTCAGAGCAGACTAGTGTTGATGCTGACACTGTGTACTCAGAGCTGAAGCAGAACACAGACAAAGGTAAGATGAATAGTACAGAATGAGAAAGGTTATATTTAAATTTCTGACAAACTTTATTCTAATCATCTAAGACACGTTGTTAAATCACTGTATTATAGAACCATTAGTGTGCATTCTACACCTTAAACAGGAGAGAGTTCACTTGGTAGAGCTTCTATTGATGTAACTGACAAATGCTATCTTGTTGTGAAGCTACTGTGGCCTAAGATAAGGTGCAGAGTGATGAGGGACAGGAGAGCCTATAAGTAATGCACTGATCTACTACGCCATCTAGCGTTGATCACATTTCTTAAATTAGATACTTCAATGCAGACTGGACAAGAGAAATGTGGAATACATATGCAGATGATACTGTTAAAAATTATAGCTACTCAAGATGTTTTTCTTTTTGTATACATTTGTAAAATAAAGCTTTAATAGGTCAACATTTTTCCTGGAATTGGCTCTGTGATGGATCCAATGTTACTATCATCAAGATCATTATCTCTACACTGCCACATTTAAAGCAATTCTAAAGGAAATTTCATGCTAGTTCAAGCTGAACTGAATATCAGGAGCATCTGATGATATTTAAAAGATAAATGTATAAACATGCATTATTTCTCACAACTCAGGCCAAATATCCTGGGGAGACACAGCTTAAAAGACTGTTGCTACAAATACTGTCCATATAACACATAGGACTAAGAATACAATGAAACTAAAAGTTATGTTTACATCTTTTTTGTATTGCTGTTTAAATGTCCCCTGCTAACTGATCATAAGCAGTACCTCCGACATGAAGTAGGCTTCTGACTCAATCTGTCAGCTATTTATAATGACACCCTGGCAGTTTCATCCTAATTCACACCTGCATCCTTCAAAGACATCTAAACATGTTTCCTGAAATCACAGGAGTGAAGTTTTAGACATCACAAGTGTGAATTAATCAAAGACGTTCAAATGTGAACATTTCCTCCACTCCTTTAAATTGATGAATTGTAAAGTCGCCCAGTCCAAGTAATCTTGACTTGCTTCTACTAGATAAGACAGAGAACATGCCATGTCAGTATTAAAGAATACTTCAAATACTTACATGCAAATACTTGTGCTCCACACAAAAAAATGGAGAAAGGAGAAAAAAATTAAAGAAGACTGAAGAAAGAATGATGACACTAACATGGTTGACATTTACAGTGATATTTGGTACATTTTAGTGTTAGTTACTGTAGAGGAGTGCTGGGGCCAGTGGCATGTAAGTGTCTACTAAGTTTAGGTTTACATTTTACTAAATCAAAACAGATTGTACCATTAGTTTTTAACTTAAGCTTAGAAGTTACTAAGCAGGTATAAGTATTGAGGACACCGATGGAAACCACTTATCATCACTTTTTGGTTAAGATATTGTAGCCAAGAATACTAAATCCTGCATGTTCTGGTTTTACACACAACTCTAATCATGATGCTGGTTTCAACTTTCAACTTCAAACATTAAGCTAACATCCATAGCTCCAATTCAATGAGCAAATGCCAAAATTTCTAGATCAATGTTGGTGTTGATGGTTGGCCAGAAAAAATCTTTTAATAAGCTGTACATTCAGTTCACAAATAAATAATAAAGAATAATTTAAAAAGTACTCAATTAAAAAAATGGCTATAGATGTTCAGTTTTATTCAGTTCAGTTGTAAAAACAAACTTGTAAACATTGTTTTCTTCTATAGAATATCATCACTGTTCAAAAACAAAACAAAACAAAAAAGCATCATACAGCACAGTCATTTTACAGGAGAAGGCAAAACATTCTTAACTTGTAAAGCAAGTTTATGTAAATAGATGTAAATAATTTAAAATCAATCAATTATACGTTTAAACATGAAAGATACACAAAATGTAAAGGAAAGTCGCTCTGTTTAAATGACAATGTTTGTAGACAGCACAATATTTTTTTTCCATAGAGTGCCAGCTGCAGTCATGTTCCCATGGCTTCATGCCTATGGACTGGTTCTGAACTGGTCACTGTCTTGGTAAACCAACTGTGCACAAACTTAGCATTTGTGTATGTATTAGTTAATTTTTACAGTGAAGGGATTATTTAAGGATTGGTGGCACAATCGAATTTAGTAAAAAGATAGTTTGACATCAACTGGTGTTATTAGTGAAGGACTCTGAAGACTTTTCACACAAACTTAAGTACAAACTTTCACCCAACCTGTACGGTCCAGACAAGTGATCAGTGTATCAGTTCTGTAGAACTATGGAGGCTGTGTGGTGGCAGGCTGCACTGATGACATCACAGTGGATCACAAGAGAGAGCCATTATGGCATCACCCCGGGAAATGGGGACTGTCCCTAGACAACGGATCGCCCTCTCTTTAGTCAGAAGATTCACAGCTACACCAACTATTTACACTTATAACATCATTTCAAGTTTCATTTCAAAGTCAGACAGAAAACTATAAAGCAGTGCCATTACATAGCAGTGTCTCATGTAGAAATATGTTTTTTAAACCAGCATTTTCATAATGCTCCTCATATGTTTATCATGGTAACTATGTTAGCATCAAGCTAGCAGGGTTAGCTCAGTGCTATTCGGGATTTTTATGTCAGTTCTAGTTTAAAATACAAATATTTTAAGCTTGTAACAGGCATGTAAGCAACTTTCTTTATTTTTTATATCTCAGTTTTTAAGTTTAACACTTTATTTAAAGGCTTGAACTTGGAAGTCCATCTTTTGTAGCATTAGCCTTTTAGCTGGTTAGCTTTCTTGTCCAGTGTACTATTGAGGGCAGAATATATCTAGTTATAAAGAACACATAATGTGTAAAAAAGTTAAAGCGAGTCTGTTAGGAGTAAACAGTAATATTTAACTAGCATTTTATCATCTGGTTGCATTAAATGGACAAAGATTTCAGCTCTAACAGATGAGCCACATTCTTATGTCTGCTGACCCTGCTGAAAAGCACAAACCAGCAAGCATTTCATGCTGGTCTAAACTGGTCTATGCTGATCTATGCTGGCCTATGCTGGTCTGGTTACCAGCATACCAGCATCAGAACACAGTATATGCTGGTTTAGATGGTGATCATCTAAACCAGTATAGGGAAACTATGTGCTATTAATGCTTGTTGTGTTGCTGTTCTTGTCGTAATTCTATTTTCGCTCAGCTGTACTGACAGCTGAAAACTGTACATTATCTCACAACACCTCAGTACATTTAATGGGAAAAAACAATAACTTAAGTAAACACATTTTCTTTGATTTCACAAAATTAAAAAAAAAAAAAAACTCACCATAACAAAAATCAGGAGAAAAAGAAATAAAAAGTAATGTTCCTTGGGCCAACAGCTTTCTGCTACATTTAATGGCTGTAAAGGATTTACCATATAGGAGGATGTAGGGAAGAAAGGATATTAATGGTAAATGAGTGTCATTGGTATTAACTGCATTCATGTGTGTTGGGTCAACAGTTTGATCTTTCTTGCAAGAGTGATGATGGATTCATGTTTAGGATTCACAAAATATGTGTTTAAATGGGGAGACAGAGAAAGATAAATGAAACGAAAACAGATATTAATAAAGAAGCAATATGAATTGCAGTTATGGGTAGTTGATGATGGAGGTTTGGGAAGACGGTGCTATGAATGAAACGATAAGTGCTATTAGTGTAGATAGTTGGTAGGTTTTATTTATTACATTTATTTATGTATGTATGTATGTATCCATGTATGTGTGTAGGTATTTTTTATTTATTATTATTTATCTCTTTTGCAGGTGATGTCGCTGGACTATGATAATTCAACATCTCTCTAACTGAAAACATAAAAATAAATTGCATGTAAGAAATTTTCTAGCACAATACATATAATAACGTACAAAAATACAATATGTCACATAATTCCTTTAATTATTTGTGAATTTGATAAGCAAATAGATTATTGTGTGTTATGTTACAGGCTTAATTTACAGTACATAAGAAATATGTCAATATATTATATATTCTTTGAAATGGTATATAAAATGCTTAAATATTTTAGTGTGAAGATCTTAATGGTGATATTCTTTTAAAGGTCCGTGATGAATGAGCACAAAAGCAGAATATTTTTAAGGATGTGAGAGAACACAAGCCAGAATCAGGCTGATCAGACATTTATGCAACAGTATGGAGTTAGCATTTTCTTACTTTTCTAATGCTAAATGGAGTTAGCATTTTCTTTACAAATGGAGTTAGCATACTGTTCTTTTTTTAGCTTTCTTTGGTTTTGCTAAGGGCTAATTGTTCCAAGACATCATATTTTTGCATTGCTTTTGGGCTGTCAGTAGCAATATTATTAGCAAAAGTATCCAGAAACCCCTTTTCATAATACCCTGGATGTCAGAAGAACCTTTGTATGAGCAGGTGCCTATAGGTGCCTACTTTGGTAGTATGCCAGTCTGTTCCTATAAGATTTACAGTGTACACTTTTGACTGATGCATTGCAAAAAGTATCCAAATGTAATGTGTTGTTCTTGTATGAATATGTACAGTTTGTATATTCATGTAAAAATATGTTGCTTTTGAGAAAAAGAGAGGTTTTGATCGATTTGTGTTAAATACATTGGATGTCATCACAAGCAAACATCTGCTTTCTATGAGCACAGTAAGAGCTGTCCAGGTCACTTTCATCAGATTCCTTTTTTTGTCAGTTTTTACATTTATAAGCATTTTTACAATTAAAATGTTTTTACTCATATTGTGTTTATTTGTGTACTGATTTTACTATATTTTAATATTTCTTTGATTTGTTTTTGTTTTTTGAGTGAATTAATCTCTGATTTTACTATATTAACTTTATAAACAATGACATTAAAAAAACAACACACATTAATGTCTTCACGTGATAATGTAAAGATAATATGATGACTGAGATGGTCAGGTGATTCAGAAAGTGTGTTTAGGTGTTGGACAAGAGCATCTACTGACATTAAAGCCTGTTTCTTAGCAGTACTTAGCAGTGCTTATACTGTACTTCTGTTTATTGAGCAGTTAATCTTAATAAAAGACTCAGCATTGGTGTGTGTTAGACTTAGTTATGTTGGATTAGGAGTAGAACCAAGTCCTGAAGCTGTGAGAGGCGTTACAAGTTTAAAATGTGCCAGAATTAAACACAGTAATTATGTTCTGTGGAAGTGTTCTCGCTCTGTTCTATTATAGTATAATAATCCTGAGATGTTTGTTAATGACGTCTTCAAATTAACCCTCTTGTTGTGTTTGTCACACTTGACTGATTTGCTGTTTTTCTCTAGCATACACATACAACTAGTTTCTAACATTAATACTACTATTTACACCTGGCATTAAACTGCATCATGTATTTGGATGTTGTTGCAACCATGTTTGTGATCAGAATGTATTCAGATCTAGCTGTTGTGATCTTAAAGTGGTCGAGTGCAGTGTAGGAGATGTGAGTACATTATCACTATAAATTAACATTATTTTTATTCATAATAATTTCTAATAAGTCTTAATAAGTGGGAAACCATCTCAACACTACAAAATAGTCTCTGAATGAGGCACACTTTAAAGTTAACCCTACAGAGACAGTCAATAACAACAGAAATAAAAAGTAAAGTTTAATAGCAAAGTAATTAGTAAAATAATAATATAGGATATATGTAGAAAAAGAAAAAGACAATATCACTCAAAATAAGACAAACCAACTAAACCAAGCTATTTACAGAAATTTGCCACAAATGTAGCAAGCTATTTATTTCCACATTTTGCATTTTCTTTTCAAATCTGCAGTAGCTGTGCACTGTTTAAGTTAACACTTAAACAAGTTAACAATATGATTGAATTGTTAACAAGTTAACAATTTGATTGAATACATTCCGATTACAGATTCAGACTGAGGTGTTTATATGCACTCTATTCAACAATCTGATGGAAAATCTTCATTTACATGCGCACTACAACTAATCTGATCCACCATGTTGAACATTATAACATTTTGCTATGATGCGACGCACATGCGCAGAACAGACTTACACATTCCGATTGGAAATGTAATCAGGTACAGGCTTTTACATGGCTATTATTCTTTTATTTAATGGATTATTTACAGGATTACCCACCTTATTCAGCCGGATAGAAATTGTATTTGTAGTCCTTCCTTTGCCATGCACTGGTCACAGCACTGCATGAACAGCTCCACATCCATGCAGCAGCCCAGCCAGTAAAACCTCTACCACAAGAGAGTTGCACAGTGCACCATGCACTGTCTTGCTCCGATTGCATGGCACCAGTAGCTGCCACACATGCTTCCCAGGATCCGGTGATACAGCATCTCTTTGCACATCTAGAGGCCCTCCCAGCTTGCGCAAACCTCCTGAACGGTGGGCATGTGTGGTGTCATGTCTGCCCAACCTGGTTTCTGTCCTGCCTGGAGCCATTCACATGCCTAAATAAGCTCTGCGTCCTCCTCCTGGGCACAGCAGAACACCTCATAGTGACATAGTGACCGGGGGTTGACGACAGCAACAGTGGCAATCCTCTCAGTCACCTTCCGCTTTCACCTTCGTCCACTGCGTCATCAATGCCAATGGGGGTGCCACTCACGTTTTCTGCCCACAGCCCTTGGGGATCCACTGATCCCCTGGCTGCAGCACATTCAGGAAGTGTTGCAGAGCAGCCTTCTTGAACACCAGGTATGCCTGTTGAACCATTGTACTCAGGCCCGCTGCCAGCACACTTACCCACTGTTCCTTTAGCCTCTGCCTCTCAGGGAGCAACATCCATCGCTGGAGTGCCGTGGTCAGTGCTGCTATGTTGTTCTGGCAGCAGCTCCACAAACACCTGTAGTGCTTTCCCCTCCACTGCTAAACACAGCTGCATCACAGTGATGATCAGACACATGCATACTCTCTCTCTCTCTCTCTCTCTCTCTCTCTCAGGAAGTGATGAGTGTTGAACACAATGCATTGTTCAGTCAGTCAGTCATTACTGGGACAGTATGGAGTTCAGGTCACTCTCTGTAATACTCTGTGAGTAAATGTTCTCTTTATGTCATCAGCAGAGTGAGAGCTGCTGTATGAAGGTGTTAATATTCAGTCTGAGTGTGTAAGTGATGAGGTCGTGTGTGATGAAGTGATTGTGTGTGTTTCAGTCAGTGCTCAGAAAGGAACACTACAGTTTCTGTTCTGTATGTTTAGCATTTTAACTGCATCCATATCTTTTATATGAATGTGTGTTTGTTTAATTGAGTTAAATGCTTAGTTGAGTATTATAGCTTCATCACTGACTATGATATCGTTTTATTCAAAATAAGATACAGTGATGAGATTTCAGCCCAATTTCGCATCAGCACAGGTCTCATGATTATTATTAAATCTTAGCTAACATATGGTGTTTATTTAGAATATCAGGTCATCTGATTGGATCTTTTGATTTCTTAATGGTTGCTGAATTGTTTATGATTCCTCTGATCGTCTCCTTCTGTCTTGTTTCTGGTTGTCCTCTTCCTCTTTTGCCTTTTGCTGTTATGTATAATTTCTTTTCCAATGATCTGGTTCTTCTTACAGTATGTGTGAAATAAGAGAGCTTCAGTTTGATTATCTGGGTTTCAAGTGAGAGAGGAGGCTTGAATGATCTTAAGGAAAATGTACAGTTGTTTGCATGTTCTGTCTGGTGTCCTTTCTTTGGTAATGGGATTTAAACTGATGTCTTCCCTTCTGCCAGCTATTGACCAGTTTTCCAGATTTGTCGGCGTAACTTGGTCAATAATTTCACCAAATCTTGAAATATTTACACTGCAATGTTATCACTTTCTATAACTTTCTCTTTTGGCAGTAATCTCAGGGCCTAGCTGACTTCCTCTTCCAGCCATGATAGTGTGTGTGTGTGTGTGTGTATATATATATATATATATATATATATATATATATATATATGGCAGAGGTGTAAGTAACGAATTACATTTACTCTCGTTACTGTAATTGAGTACAGTTTTCCCTGTAACGGTACTTTTTGGAGTAGAATTAAATCATAGTACTTTTACTCTTACTTGAGTTAATTTTTAATGAAATACTTTTACTTCGCTACTTTAATTTTCATAACGTTACAGAGTAAAAATCAATGATGAGTGAATCAGCTCAGACACCAATACGAACGAAGGGCGGCTAAAATTAAAATATTCACCAATCAAAAAACAGCAGCTCCAACAAGAAAAACAGTACAGAGATGTCCTGTTTAGTGAAGAAGGACAGAGGAGAACTGAACCAGCACACACGAGGATAAGACCGCGTCCAAACGGTCATCTGTATTCATTTAACATGAACTAAAGAAAACGGCGTTATTATCAGCGGCCACACACGAAACCTGCTGAGATCCGCTCTCACACCTCGACTCCAGCCTGAGGCAGCGTTAACCGAGCTAGCTGATCCGAGCTGAACAGGTACCGTGTTTACGAGTTTCTTCTTTCTTTTATAATGATTCTGTTCATTACACTGGAAATCTGCTGTGTATATTTTATTACAGTGTCTGTCAGCTACTTTAACCAGGTTACCGTTTATACAGCCTAGATTAGCTGCTGTTTTGGAGATAAACGGTCGTGAAGACAAGAAATCTAGTCTAATACAGGATCTTTATCAACTCTGAGCAGTGATTCTGTCGCGCTGGCCTGATCTGATCCCTCTCCCCTGCCTGCCACCTCTCTCTCTCTCTCTCTCACTCTCTCTCTCTCTCTCTCTCTCTCTCTCTCTCTCTCTTCCTCATTCTCTCTCTGTCTCTTCCTCTCTCTCTCTCTCTGCCTTGGTGTTTGTCTTTAACTGTGAGAAGCTGTGTAGCTGTTTAACTGTGAAATTGCAGTATCAATGTCTGATTCTGTATGAAGTGATGAGCATGATTAGTGAAATAAATCAGTGCTGGGTAAGTTGCTGATGTTGCTGCTGATTTTAATGGTGTAAATGTTCTGAACAGATATCAGTGATAATATACAGTTTGAAGGCTGTGAGAGGTTCACACCTATTAACGTAAGCTAGAGTCCAGTGAGCTGATGGGCAGCAGGACTGTCACTAAAATCACATCATTAATTAAGCAATTTACTCATAATTTTGACTCTTTTTTTCTCTTAAAATGTACTTATTGAAACAGTAACATCCTCTGCACAGTCTTTCAGGGATTCTGAAATACTTTACTGGAAACAGATAAACCAGGGCATCTTATGTAATCGTCTAACCATGAAATGCATGCAGTTTAATGTAAACCTCATTCCTTACACAGTTCACAGAAAGGTGTGTAAATATTCAGTAGCAGAGCGAACTGTGATCAGTCTCAGCTCTCAGAACTTTAGCTTTAGTGTTTTTTTGTACAGAGTATTTCCAGTGATGTAGCCGAGTCAGCTCAGAAATATGTTCAGGTTGTGATAGTGGAAATACAAAAAAATAACTAAGTAACTCAGTACTTAAGTAGTTTTTCAGCGAACTACTTATTTACTCTTACTTCAGTAATTTTATTTACTAATACTTTTACTTGTACTTGGGTAAATTGTCACTACAGTAACAGTACTTGTACTTGAGTAGGGATTTTCAGTACTCTTTACACCTCTGATATATAGTATATTTGGTCCAGCACCCCTCATGACCCATGAGGATGAATGGGGATGCATGTATATATATATATATATATATATATATATATATATATATATATATATATATATATATCTTTGTTGTCGGAAGAAAACCTTGTATCTCCGAAATGGTAACTTTACAGGAGAAGGAAAAAACATACTTTACTTTTAATTTAAGTCAATGGAACCAGACTTTTTTCCAAACCATTTTGGGTCATTTCTTTTGGTCCATTCATTATGAAATTTACACACAATGTAAAGAAAAACAAGCAAATTTGAAACAGGCATTTCAAATTATGTCAAAAACTGAAAAATGTTCGGACAGCAGCGATATATAGTGAGATACCTGTATCATAAGTTATAGTATGATATCTTTTAAGGCAGTCCACCTGCTAGAAAATTGGTCCCAAATATGTATGACAAAAAACATTTGATAGTTGTGTCAGAAACCCTAGTTTCAAGAGTGTGTGAGAGAAGGAAAGAGAGAGAGAGAGGGAGAGAGAGAGAGAGAGAGAGAGAGAGACAGAGAGAACAGATGCGTGAGTGTGCAAAATTTCTAGGAAAAGGCAGATCTATCGCATACAAAAAATACTCACTTATAAAACAAGCCCAATCCGAGCCTTAATGTTGTACCTGTAAATATTTACCTGTAATTTGTAGGGCTCGAGGAAGACCTCTGACAATGTTTATCAGAACATTCATAAAATTACCTGAGTATAATTTGTTTTAGGGTGATCTTTTATACGTATAATATTGTTTCAAGTTTGGATTTAGGCAAAAAGAGCTGCACTAAATGACTTTTCAGCATTTTAAAGTAACAATGTCTGATTTTGGAAGAATGTTTATTTAGGCAGTTTAGTACATTATTTTTATTTCAACTGGTTTTATTAGATTTTTATTTAGATGTAGTGTCTTGAAGTGAATTTTCAACTTTAATGCTTCATTTATTTTCATCTTCTCTGAAATGTGCTGCTCTATGCATTTTCTTGAAGAAAGGAATAATTACAGTGTTAATATCATGTTTCTCTGTTTCTCTTCCTGTTTTCAGTGTTGGTTTCACTCATCCAAACAGAGCATGCTCAAGGTGATTTCTGATTAACTGTTTATGTAGTGGATGTTTAGTTTGTAAAAGAGCCAAAAAGGTTGTGTTCATTGACTAACATGCAGAATGTGAGTCCTGTTCAGTGATTTGCTAGTTGATTTTTACAGTCTGACTGTGCAGCCTGATCAGCCACAAATATTCACTGGAGAGAATGTTACACTCACATGTGACTTGCCAGGAGAGAACGCAACTAACCGGACGTACTGCTGGATGAGTGATAACACTTCACCCCATCTTTCTGATGAAAAGTATCACATCAAAAAAGACATCAAAGCGCATCAGAGTTCAAAATACAAATGTCATGGTCACAGAAACCACGAACAATCTGACTGGAGCAATGAAGCGACTCTTACAGTGATAGGTGACATGTTCGGTCTTATACTCTTGTGAAATGCGTTAACACATCATTATAATGAAACATTGTCATTAAATATATCTGAAATTCTCAGAGCAGTGTTTGATTGGCTGGTTTACAGTAATATTTATGTGATGTAATTGTACAGAGAGACCAAAAGCTTCACTGATTCTGGTGCCTACTGGACAGATGTTTACTGGAGAGAAAGTGACTCTCAGATGTGACATACAAGGACACACAGACACTGAGTGGAGCTACAGCTGGTATAAAGATGGTGACAGTAACCTTCTAGTTTATTCCTCTGATAATAAAAAAGAATATTCATTCAGTGTTGTAGAGTCTGACAGTGGTAAATACACCTATAGAGGAGAGAGGAGGAGTGACTCTCAGATATCAGAGGTCAGTGATGCTGTTACACTGACTGTATCAGGTGAGTCTGTAGATTGTTTTGTGATATCATTCCATCAGGTGAGGTTATTATAGTGTCTAAGTAAATTAACACTGTGTTTCTGTGTAACAGACAGAGCTCAGGCAGTACTGAGAGTGTCTCCACAGAGCTGGCTGACTGAAGGAGACTCAGTAACTCTAAGCTGTGAGGTCAGAGGCTCCTCTACAGGCTGGACATTCAGCTTGTACAGAAATAAAGATGTGCTCCTCTCAGACAGCAGCAGAGGAGCTGGAGGCTCCTACACACTCAGCCCTGCAACTCTTACTCACGTTATTTCTCCTAATAAACAGCCACACGTTGATCTCAGTCTCCTTACTCACCATCATCACTGTAATATTTAATCTGATGAGTTTTCATCAACATTAACACACCAAGATAGTGAGAGGAAACAGTGGAGAATGTGTCTGCAGTGTCTGAGATTTTTGAACTGCAGAAAGTAGAACAGCTCAGGTGAAACCATTTTGCAATATAAATATATATAACATCATTATGCTAGTCATATTGAATATGTTATGCTGCCTGTCACAACTGCCTAAAACAATAGAAATTAAAGGTTATAACTGATGTTCCATCACTGAGACAACACTGAGTTTCATCTTAAAGTTAGAATAGTATTTAGGAAATTCCATCTAGGCAGGATGGATCTGTAATATTGCTCTGTATTAGCTACTGGCCTAAATTCAGTCCTAACTAAAGTTGTCATGGTGATTAAACCAGAGAAGATTTCAGAGTTTGAATGTCGTAATACGACCCCTAGTGTATACACATACAATATCTTATTTATAATAAGATAATAATTATAATAAAACAGCTGAATGGTCATTTTTGCATTTAAGGTGTATCTCCTCTAGCACTTCTGATGGTCAGTCCCAGCAGAACTCAACACTTTATTACTGACTCTCTCTCACTGAGATGTGTGGAACAGAGTGACTCTACTGGATGGAGAGTGGGACGATACACACACAGTGAGAAGGTGTCAGATTGTTCATCAGGCTGGGGATCAGTTACAGGATCTACATGCAGCATCAGCTCCATCAACACATCCCACACTGGAGTGTACTGGTGTGAGTCTGAATCTGGAGAGAGCAGCAGTCCTGTCAACATCACAGTGCACAGTGAGTGAACATGTACTGTCTTTACTATTAAGGGAAATGCTTGATCATAGAATATGTGAGATTCCAATTCAGAAAACTGTTGAAACAGTAAAGCCTCAGTGGTTTATATCAGTTGGAAACCTCTATATAGTTATAGGATAATTTGAACGCAACAACTGTACTGTGGTGTTCAGTGTTTTCTCATGAGCAGAATCAGCTCTGTTACCACAGGTAAAGCACTGAATGATGCTGGATTTAAGTATAATATTTGAGTTTAACAGCCCCCATTTAAAGACATTTTCCAACCCTTCACTACAACCCTGAGTACAACCCTGTTTCCAAAAAGGTTGGGATGCTGTGCAAACATAAATAAAAATAGAATGGAATGATGTGCAAATCATTCATTCACTATATTTAATTGAAACGGTATAAAGACAACATATCAAATGTTGAAATGGAGAATTATTCTTTTTTTTTGAAAAACATATGCCTACTGTGAATTTAATGCCAGAAAAACATTTAAAAAAAATGCGGACATGGGCATGTTCACCACTGTGTTGCATCACCTCTTCTTTTAACAACACTCTATAAGCGTTTGGGAACTGAGGAGACCAAATGCAGATCACAGGACACTTTTCCACTTCTGTATGTTCCTCTCAGTTGATCTTAAATGAGCTTAGGCCCAGAGAAGGCGGCAGCGTTTCTGCATGCTTGCATTTGCAAATGTAGTGACGAACTGTGTTCACAGGCAATATTTTTCAGATGTGTCCCTAGGCAATTCAGTGATTTCCACAATAGAACTGTCTTTTATTCAACCTCTCATAACTTTTTAGAAACATGCTGCTGGCATTAAATTCAAAATTTAATATTTAAAAATGGTTATCAGTTTCAACATTTGATATGTTGTCTTTGTACTACTTTTAATTAAATATAAGATTTAAATAACTTGCATATGATTGCATTCTGTTTTTATTTACATTTTGCCCTGTGTCCCAACATTTTGTAGGTTCCCTTCTTGGTTGATGAAAATCATCCACAGCTGCAGATTCTGCAGTCTTGAATACGATGTAGGCCATTGCTCATAAATATTTTCATTTATGTTCTCTGACAGCATCTCTAAGTAATTTGTTCTTGCTTGAAACATTCTCCCTCCTTACACCCAGTGTAATATTTTCTCTGTTCTAGATAATAATGTGATTCTGGACAGTCCTGTTCATCCTGTGACTGAGGGAGATCCTCTGACTCTACACTGTTTATATCGCCACACAAAGCCCTCAAACCTCACAGCTGAGTTCTATAAAGATGGATCACTCCTCCAGACTCAGACTACAGGAGAGATGACCATCCATACTGTCTCAAAGTCAGATGAAGGTCTCTATCACTGTAAACACCCAGAGAGAGGAGAGTCACCACAGAGCTGGATCTCAGTCAGAGGTGAGAAATACAGATATAATCAAAATGCAGTGTTTAAATCATTAACAGTGGGGTTTGTATGAGACAGTACAGTGTTTAGGGGGTGGTGAATGGAGTATTTCTTACAGCAGTGTCTGGTGTGATTTTGTTGAAATTGATACAGCAGTATCTTTAATGCAGTGCAGTAGTCATGAAATTTCAGTACTGTTAACTTTTATTGCATAAGTCCTTATGACATAACAGAACTTCACTTAAAGTGCATCTGTGGGTTACTGTTGTAAGAGAATGAGGGGAGGAGTTAAGAGTGAGAAGCACAAAGAAAACCCAGAGTTAGAGCACCACTGTTTTGCTGAGCATGTAGTTTTAACTTTAGTAAGTTTTAGCATAAGAATCTTCCAAAACCGTTGGATGTAAGATGTTTTTAATGTAGAGTCAGGTACTAATGGGTTGGTGAGAGGCGGTTTAGTTCATGAAAAGTTCCTCTTTTGTTTTGGCACATGGGAGCTACTAGAGAAGCACCTGAACTCTTGCATTGATCAGCCAATTTACAGCCCTCACATGCTGTGGTAAAGTACTACTGTGGAATATACAGTTTTCTCAGGTCTGACATTTTCTTTTACATTCAAAAACACTTAAACGTCTAATGTGAAAAAAGCTTAAGGTGACTTAATGTACTAAAACAACAGCCTAGAAACACCAAACCTTTCTGAGTTACTACTGGTCATAAATACGCTCGACTGCTAAAACAATGATCTGTGATCCAAAAAGAAATTTTCATTTTTGTCTGAATTTTTGCCTTCTGTTTTTTCTGTCCTTTGAACCTACTATAAGGTGTGGAATTTCTGTTAATTTGAGTTATATAAAAATATATAAATATATTGTGCAAAAATATATAAAACTTATTCCATACATTTAAACATTTGTGCTAGCTGCTTTCCTCTCAGAGCACTGTGGCACTCACAGTGTGGATTCATTTCATTTACCAGGCCTGCTAGTCTCACTTAGTGGGCACACCAGTTCTGTAACAACAATTCTATGAGTTGCATCATATTTGGTGGTGTTGTTTTAGTACATTAAGCCACATTAAGCTTTTTTTCTTGTAATGAGTTTAAATAGGAAGACAAAACCTTAATGTCCTTTCAGCAGTAGAGAGCACTTCTGACTAGTAATAAGTGAGAGAGGCTTGGAGTTCCTAGGTTATTGTTTTTTTTTTAGAATGCCCCCTCTTTATTTAGAATGATGTCCAGCTTCGGGTTGAGCGTCATTGCTAATGGCTGCTCTTAAATTGTGAAAAAACTTGAGTGCACTGTTTCAGTGATGTGAAGGTTGCGGTGAAAGTACTTGTTTTTGGGTTGCCAGCATATGAGAGAAATATCACACAGGATTACTTTATTTTTTTTCTTTTCTGGGTCACTCCCACACCTCATCAAGCACCTAGTTTAATTTATTCAGACTGAATGTGATCTGAGTGTCTTTTGAATTTCTGTAAGACTGAATGTCTGACTTTATGTTGGCATAGTTTATATCCATTGCTTTGCATGTTCATCAGCTAATGCTGTGTATGCTCAACTACTGCTTTGCCTGCATATCATATTCGTAGACAGACATTTTTATCATATAGATCTGTGTCAGCAGAGCACCAGTTCTCAGAATGGGTCTGTAGCCTGCTTGCTAAGCTAACATTAAAATCCAATCACCACAGAACAGGTTTTATTTAGTCCTTCTGTCCCTTCGTTGGTTGCTTGACTTCACTCACTCAGATCTTTTTTTTATTATTTTTATCATCTAAACTCGGATCTGTGCTTCAGTCAGTCAAAGGCTGACATGTTCTGTGGTGGGCTAACACTAACCAGCTCCTCCCGCCTGTTTAGCAGCACTGTTTAATATTTATCAGTTGTTCAAATATCGTGCACTGTGTTGACTTGGTAAGTAACCATGTAAAGCAAATGACTTTATTTTCATTTTGAAATAACGCTAGACAAGAACGCAAGGCTATACTGAACTAATGTAACATAGGCATAGAGAGTGATATATATATATATATATATATAATATATATATATATATATATATAATATATATATATATATATTGGAATGGGCTACAGTGAATACTGCTTGTTAAGGCAAAAGGTTTATTACATATCATGGGTTATAAATATATCAAGTGTGGCAGAGCTTTTCTTTGATACTATTGATTCAGTGACAGTAAAGGTAAAAGGTAATGACTATAAGAAAATAAGAAAGTAACTGAGTACAAAGATATATATTAATCAGTCTCTTGGGAGGGTCAGGAAGGCACCCACATGTTGCACTGAGGCACTGTTAAGTTTTCTGTCCCATATAGTTATATTAATTTAATAGTTAAGTTAGCTTGTTAATGGAGGTTACATCTGTAATGTGTGTGTGTGTGTGTGTGTGTGTGTGTGTGTGTGTGTGTGTATCAGGTGTGTCTAAGTCAGGAGCTTCATTCTCAGTGTTCAGTCTGCTCAGTAGTTTAATGGCAGTGTCTCCATATCTGCTGGTGTCCATTGTTCTGGGGTTCAAATGCTACAGAGCTCGAGGTAAGAACTCTTTCAGTGTGACTGTAAGTGACACATAGCCTAGTAAAAATGGTAATGAAATCAAGAAATTATTGTTCTATTTAAAGTCAGGGTCAAGCTGTGTATGTTGTAAATTTTATTGTCACCATTTTATTGTCTTCCTGTGTGTCATGTGACTATTTTGGTCCAATCTAACCTTAAATGAATACACCAACCACTATTTATTTATGACTGAACTTCAGAGAAGATTGTATTTTAATTTAGTTTTTATTATTTTTGTTTACTTAGACTGGTCATGAGAATAGACCAGAAAACAAAACAAAACACAGAGGTCTGAACTGAACCATGGATTTGGAGAATTGTTGCACCCCTAATATTATCATAGAATTTGCTCTATAATCATAACTGCATGTCATTTTAAATATGATTTACAGGAGCAGGATTATTAAATAGTAGATTATAAGGTTCTAACTGTAACTCGCTGAGAATCACTGACCAAATATTTTCATTATAACATTTTTTTTACATAGTTTTGCGCTGAAAAACATACATACCATGTAGGAAAATGTGAAGGGAAAAACTACCAGATGAGGGCAGTGTAACATTTTTAATCAGAGTTTTTTTTTCTTACAGCTCAGACTGATAAACATCAAAGTCAGTATGCAGTCACAGAAGAATGAGGATATCACAGAAAAATAAATGTAGAATCATTAGAAATAAGCATTAGAAAGTGATGTTTTATCATTTTTCTGTTATGCAATAAAAAATTGCAGCTTTCAGGTGAAAGAAAATCTCAAAACCATTTCACTGTATAATATTATTTGTACAGATTTTGTCTAATATGATTTGTTATTTTCACTTATTTTATTGTAATTTCTGTTTTTAAAGTATAAAATCCCAAATACTTCATTATAGAATAAGAGGCAGGAAACATAGCGCTTTGAAGGAGATCTCCTTCAAAGTTTTACTGAACACAGAAGCAGTGAGAACAGCCACCAGCGCTGGCTGAAATGGCTGGGAAGCAACAACCGTACAGTTTACTACACATGACAGACATGAACACCCCCAAACAACACACAGCCCAGCACAGAAAGACACAATCAACCCTGCTGCACACAGAATGTCCACACAGTCACAACTATTCACAAGATATAAGTCTCTCTTACTGCAAGTCCAGCGCTTCTCATGAGCCTTTGTTCATCCATGGTCACATGATTCTGTAGGAGGAAGCTATAACAAAATAAACAAATAATATTAGTGTATATGTGAAAAATGTAGATATGTTTTACAAAAGTTACACATTTTCTACCATTCAAATTTTACACATTATATTCACTCATCATTTTATAAAAGCATTTTACATTAAATAAAAAATAAAGTTTATTTTGAATGAAGCAAAGATTCTTTGGTCATGTTGGGATGTTTAGCTCTTAATTATTGAGTGTGGTTTAAAATAGACTCCAGCTTTAAAGCAGACAGGAGAAATAAATAAAATAATTAATCTCTGTTGTTGTTGTTATATTTTCTAAAATCTAAATACAATCATTTCATTGTTTTGTTTCTTATGATCACTTTTCCAGGCTGTAGTTTATAGTTTTTTTCTGTTCTTTAGCTGCTGCTTCACTGTCTGAGGAACTCTTGTGATGATCTCCACAGATCATTTGTGTTCATCTCAGTTTAAACCTCATATAAAATCCTCTGAATCAGAATCACAGAAAAGGAATCAGAATCAGTGAAAAGCAATCAGAGTGAACGATCATTCAGGGAAGATGAGTATCTTTCATATACGAGCCATAAATCAAATCAACACAGAAACATGATCAGAATCAAGTGAGGATCTGGAGCTCTGTTTATTTCAGTGTGTTTGAAACAGTAATTCAGAGCGACTCTCCTAAATTCTGCAGTGAAACTGAAGTGATTGCTGAGCTCATGACAGCTGAGCTTTACTGAACCAGCAAATAGTCTTTAACCTGTAGTATCACTGAGTGCCAGTAGAGGCATCTCAGGGCACAAGTTCAAGTTTAAGAGGCTTCATTGTCATTTCAGCTGTATACAAGTACACAATGAAACGAAACAACATTCCTCCAGGATCACTGATGCAACACAGGAGCACAAGTGCAAAACAATACAATAAACACATAGCAGACAATTTAGTGCAATTAATAGAAAAGACTTACAAGAAATACAAACACGGAACACAAGTAGTACACGGTACTGAGAATATCCAGACTGTGCAAAGTAGAATGTGACACATTAGCAAATAGCCTAGCATATTTGAGCATAGCAGTCACTGAGGTAGCAACCAGACCAACAGCATTTGGTTGATACAGTAATTCTAGCAGCCGATATTGTTAAGGAAATAAAATGTGCACAAATACAAATAGTCAGATACATGAATTATATCAAGTGAAGTATTTCAGAGTGAAATGCCACAAGTATACTTGAACAGAGTGTCACAGACATAATCTGGAATTTTAAGAAGTTTGTAGTGAGTTAGTCTCATGTTGTTATGTATATGTGTGTGTGTGTGTGTGTGTGTGTGTGTGTGTGTGTGTGTGTGGGTGTCCTTTAATTCAGTCCGTGGAAGTTGAGGAATCTGATGGCTTGTGGAGAGAAACTGTTGCAGAGTTTGGCTGTGAGGGCCTGAATGCTGCGGTACCTTCTTCCAGATGGCAGAAGAGGGAACAGTTTGTGTGAGGGGTGTGTGGGGTCAGTCACAATGCTAATGACTTTTCGGATGCAGCGTGTGGTATAAATGTCCGTGATGGAGGGAAAAGAGACACCAATGATTTTTTTCCTCACTATTCGCTGGAGGGTCTTGTGGTCAGAGGTGGTGCATGCAATAATTCCACTGTTCAGGATGCTCTCTATAGTGCCTTTGTGGAAGGTGGTAAGAATGGTGGATGGGAGATTAGTGTTCCTGAAATTCCACAGATCGGCAGTAACTGCCATATCATAAAGTTAAAAAAAAATCTCACAACCAATACACACACACCAATACATTTAATTACACATTCATTTTCATTTTTGAATTAAAAAAAAATTTTTTTTTTTTTTTTTTTTTGAAGGTCAGTCATACTGTAAAAGTCTTGGGGATCACCATTCAGGGTTTGTTGTGCTGCATGTGAACCACAATAGGAAGTTGTTTGTCCTGTGCTGCCTTAAGAAATGTGTTTTGGAAACCTGGCATAGTTCACAAAATTTTAAACACAATGTCCACTGATTGCTCACTCTATAAGACACATGTACCTTTTGGGTGCACATTGTAGGTATAAAGTTGACCGGTCATCTGTTGCTGCACAGTCTGTTGGTCATCCTCTAGTCCAGGGATTAAAATTCAAGGTCCAGTTTGGGAAAATATCCTCAAGCAAAGATCCGGAACATCATAATGTCTAACTTGCATCATGATTCAGTGCCATATACTTTTTACTGAAGTAGCCTAGTAGGTATCAACATCTGCGGTCAACAACTGAATGTCAAATCAAATAAAGTACAATTCAGTCATATTTCAAGAATATTTATTGTCAGTTTTCTCTTTTTAGATCACACCATGTAAAATAACTCCCCTCTGACTCACTTTCTTCTCCGACTTCTGTTTTTCACCTCATCCCTCCCCTGTGTGTGCATCACTCAATCGAGTCTCAGTGCTCATCGTAATGCACAGATCTGATTGGCTGAGTCGCATCATGTGTTATATTTACAACGAATGCAATTGGTCTGCGAGTCTCCCAGGTTGCTAAAGCGGTAAAGGCTGTAAAGGCTAGAAAACCTACGCCGATTAAAATATAAAAATGTCGAAATTAAATAATTATCCATAGTTTATTTGTTACAGGTTCAGGTCCGCATAAGACAGCGTCTGGGTCCAGATTCGGACCGCGGTCCGCCTATTAGTGACCTCTGCTCTAGTCGTTCATCAGTGGTCACAGGACACTGTTGGATGGATATTTTTGGTTGACGGACTATTTTCAGTCCAGCAGTGACACTGAGGTGTTTAAAAACTCCAGCAGCACTGCTGTGTCTGATCCACTCAGACTAGCACAACACACACTAACACACCACCACCACATCGGTGTCACTGCAGTGCTGAGAATGATCCAGTACCCCAATTAATACCTGCTCTGTGGTGGTCCTGATCAGTGAAGAACAGGGTAAAAGTGGGCTAACAAAATGTGTAGACAAACACCTGGACTGCAGTCTGTAATTGTAGAACTACAAAGTGAACCCATATAGTAACGAAAATGGACGAGTGCAGAAACAAGGAGGTGTTCTTAATATAGTTCTGAGTGTGTGAGTGTGTGTGTGTGTGTGTGTGTGTGTGTGTGTGTGTATCGGAAATGAGTGTGTGGTTTGGCTTCTGTTCTAGTTCAGCTGTGTGGGTTTAATAGAGGAGGAGGGACGAGGTGTTAAAGTGGAGATCAGTTAGTTTTATCTTCTATCTGTGCTTCAGAACAGGGGGACATTATAAGGCCCTATAACGCTCTTATTAAGCTTTTTCAATATAGTAGCTGTTTCATTCATTTTTAGTCAACTAACTTGAACTAAGGGGGAATTTTGCTAAATATTCTGTATAATTTAATAATTGAGATGTGAGTAAAGTAATTACTGTTCTGATGTGAAATGTTCATCATAGAGAAACATGCTGATGTGGAATTTCTTTACAGTGGTAGTGAAAGGAGCCAGGAGTCATAATGTGTACAACACAAAAATATAACAATTTATTTGCTTTCATAAAACATCTGAATTTTTATATGAAATGCTGAACCTCTCTGTCATGTTTTTTTTTCTTTTTTCAAAACTACCATAAAATATAATAAAATGTAATAATTTTGTGTAATAAATTTATGTAAGATAACTTTTACAGGCGTTAGATACTTCAGATGTCTGGTTCATTTTAACACCAGTAAACAATTCAGACTGTGTGAGTTTCTCTAGAACAGCACATTAAACATGATCACTCTGAATTAGTTCATTTACATCTACACCAATGATGTTTTGTAAAAGTTGGAGTTCTCTTTTAAGGGTTTTTTTCTGCATAATAAAGTATTAATGAGTTAACTAACCACTACTTGATAAGGTTTAGAGATCGTGAGATCAATACATTAAATGTTTATATTCTTTATTTATTAACAGGAGAACAGAAACATCTCCTGCTGCTTCATGAACTGATGAACACTGGAGATCTGAACACAGACTGTGTCTCATTTCACACCACAGCT